AAAATTATCACCTGGCGGCATCATTTTCAATTTGTTATTGGCTAATAGAAACCCTCTATGTTTAAAATATTATTACAAGCACTGTTTCTTCATACGTGTGTAGAGAAGTGTATGTAAAACATCTGATTATAAAACAAACATTTTTATTAACCAGATTTTCCTACTTTTTAAATGCACACTGTGTCGTTGTTTGTTTTTAGCGAAAAGCTACAAAATAGGCTATCATGCATTAGGTTGTAAGTCCATAAACTTACCGCAGGCCCTCTAAGGGACCAAGACTGTTTGTTAAATACATGTTTAAAGACCAATTTATGTGCTAAAATAAAATACACTAAAACGTAATTACACGATGTAGTAATGGTCAACATTATCAGTTTCATTGAAAACTATCGAGTTTGGGCGTTATGTAAATATGATACATAGATTTACAACTCTAACAATAACTAAAACAAAATAATTTTTCAAGTTGCAGTGATATAGTGCTCAAAGTAACAACGAAAATATTGTTCAAGCGAGAAATGTTGTTTATGATTTCAAGTTGGAATAACATAATGTTGACAGTAGTGCCCGGCATGGCCAGGTGGTTAGGGCGTAATCTGAAGGTCGCGGGTTCGAATCCCCGTCACACCAAACATGCCAACCTTCTCCTTTGCCTAGTCCCAAGTCCAGGATGAGAAAGGAGGAGTGTTGAGCGCGGGGCTAGCAACTAAGCAAGTAAAAAACAACCTGCTACAAGTAACTGCAACAACACCTTCCGTTTGCGAGGTGTTATTGCGGCCCTATGCTCCACTGGGAGTTTATAGGAATAATAAAAAAAAATTTTGACAGTAACAGCGACAATACTGTTCAAGTGAAAAATGTTAAAGTTTTCAAGTTGGAATGACATAATGTTGACAGTAACAACGACAATACTGTTCAAGTGAGAAATGTTAAAGTTTTCAAGTTGGAATGACATTATGTTGACAGTAACAACGACAATACTGTTCAAGCGAGAAGTGTTTTTTATGTTTTCAAGTTGGAATGACATAATGTTGAGAGTAACAACGACAATACTGTTCAAGCGAGAAGTGTTTTTTATGTTTTCAAGTTGGAATGACATAATGTTGACAGTAAAAGCGACAATACTGTTCAAGCGAGAAGTGTTTTTTATGTTTTCAAGCTGGAATGACATAATGTTCAAAGTAAAAGCGACAATACTGTTCAAGCGAGAAATGTTAAAGTTTTCAAGTTGGAATGACATAGAGTTGACATTAACAGCGACAAGTGCTTTCACGTATTCTACACCTTCTTCGTTAATATCAAACCTAAGCGATCGAGTACTGAAACAGTTTCGCTCGTTTATAAGTGTTCTGTATTTCGATTTTGTCAAAGAACATTCGAGATATCAGAATATATTTTCAACTAAATCTACTTTTTAATCTTTGAGAAAGGGGAAGTTTCACATAGCTTGAATGCTATAGCGTTCAACCATTTTTTAAATCAACAGAAGAGATCCAGCTTGAATTGCAAAAAAGAGATCTGAATGAGTTCTTCTATCCATTGAAATTTCATTACTGTAGCCAGTACGTGGTGACAGTAACTGCTGGTTAGAGAATCCGTTGATTGAAATGGTCCCATGGCAGCAATCGCATCGTCATTGCCAAAGTGCTGTGAGTTTTGTAATTATACTGGAGGCTGAAAACGTAATCGGGCCAATCTCGCCACGTTATTGTCAGCATACGACCTACTAATCGACGGTAATTTCTCTACTAGGCACTAGGGATGGCCTTTTCCTTCCTAATGTGCTTATATTAATTATACTGATGCATTTTATTGGTGCTGAAAGTTTCGTGCGAAAGATTCACCTAGTCGTCGCCATATTTAATGATCATAGTTGTGTTAAAAAAATTGTTCGACTACAAAGGAAAGAAAACGTGCAGTTTTCTATACTTACTTAATAAACAACAACAACAACGACAACTAGCAAGAAAGTTAATTTGCGAAATAAAAAATTTCCTTTAACCATCAGCTTACAACGTTATTATTTTATAACTTATACCAAGTCGTTTCTAATTTTGTGAAATTATTTAAAATTTTGTTATAATAAGCGGAAGAAAATTAGCAGTTACCTTGCTTAATAATCTTAACGAATGTTATGTTTTTACCCAATATTTGAAAGTGTTTGTGTAAAACTTTTCTTAAAAATTATTAATGTACTTCAGACTCGTTTGGTTGGTGGCCAAAAGACAAAATCATCCTGAAAACATACAGTATATTCACAAGAGAGAGAACGTTAACTACCGCAGAAAATACACAGTACATTGATAAGAAACAACTACGAATACCATAGAAAATACACAGTAGGTTCGTTCACAAGTAAAAATTTGTAATGAAATAGGAGATTACATATTTAGATAACAGAATTTCAAATACCATATAAAATACATAGTAGGTTCACAAATGAGAACTTTAAATACCACATAAAATATACAGTAGGTTCACAAATGAGAACTTTAAATACCACATAAAATATACAATAGGTTCACAAATGAGAAGTTTAAATACCACATAAAATATACAGTAGGTTCACAAATGAGAACTTCAAATACCACATAAAATATACAGTAGGTTCACAAATGAGAACTTCAAATACCACATAAAATATACAGTAGGTTCACAAATGAGAACTTTAAATACCACATAAAATATACAGTAGGTTCACAAATGAGAACTTTAAATACCACATATAAAATACACAGTAGGTTCACAAATGAGAACTTCAAATACCACATAAAATATACAGTAGGTTCACAAATGAGAACTTTAAATACCAAACTTCTATACTCTGAGGAACAAGTATTTTTAAATTTTACCTTACACTTTGAATTTCTAAAATGTGTATTTTTTAACATAGCAAGAAGTGGTCTTTAAATAATGTTACAATTTCGCGAGCTGAACAGAAACGCAGAAAAATATTTTGTTAATATCTAAAGTACTGTCAACGTAAGCTATTTAAAATGCATATTAATCTGTAATGTATGTATAAAAGAATTATTCAGCTGCAATACGCAGAACTTGACTGTCACTGATGTCAAGGCCCAATTACTGACGCAAAAATTTCTTTGTGGAGATAGATGTTCGGGTTTATTCAGTTGTAACACACAAAACTTTACTATCACTGATGTTAAGACTATTTACTGATGCAAAGGTTTCTTTTGGAGTTACGTTCAGGTTCGTTCAGTTATAACATACAGAACATGACTTTCACTGATGCAAAGATTTCTTTTGTGGAGATGTTATTAGTATGAACACAAGACAGTCATTATTACGCAAACAAGTACTACGATTACAGCTATCTCTATTTGCTTAATAAGCGCCTAATGCATCTTCGGATTATCTTGGAAGGCTATCTAGTTATGTTGATTTTCTCTGAATTGACGGATGTTGACCTAACTCGTTGGACCAATTTGCAAGTTTCAAACCCCATCATTAATTCATAGTTCTCCAGATACAAGTGGTTAGGTGGCGGTGCCAGATGAGCCAATCAGTAGCAGATGGGCAACTGCGGGAGGCGAACATTGGGGAAAGTGATCCTTATTGTTCGACGGCAATCCATTGTTCTTATTTGTTAAGTACCCGCTGTGAGCATAGGCGCAGATTTGCTAGCGGCTTAGCGCACAGCTTTGGTTCGGCTGCAAGCCATAAAACGACGTGTAATGATGGGGAAAATGTAGGGGCACTAGTGCTTAATATGCCTGTAAAGATTCAATAGTATGTTAACGTATAAATATGGAAATATATTGAATCAACCCACAACGAGGAGAGCATCCGTAGCTGAGATAGTCGTTGCATTGAGAAAACGTACACTGATATACGCAGTGAAAATAAGAATTTTACACGTTGGTTATTATTGGACTAAGCTATACCTGTGTGCAAAATATAAAGTGGTAATATAAAGAACTTAAAATGAATTTCGAACTACTAACGGTAATACTGTTACCGTGCATCCGTCTTTAGTTTCATTTATTAACTTCAATTATTCTTCCTAAGTGTGAGATATAATGAGGAAATTAAGTTGCATGTGTAATTTTACAACGTATCGTAAGAGTTGCACGTGGTAGCAGGATAGAGGAATAGGTGATTAAGGTACTTGATCTACTAAACCAGACATTGATTTTGTTCACAAAAATAAATGTTTACACGGCTAAGAGTCGCATAAACAGCTACATAATTAGAAGACTTTAATATATTTTGACAAGAGCAATGCAGAATATTCAGCGTAATATATACAGACAGTTTGATGACGATATTAGATTTTCCACAAGAAAATACTACATTTGAATTTAACAAGATAGAATACCTGCCAACATGTGACATCATACAAGATTACCCGCAAACACGTGGCATCATACTAGATTATCAGCAAGTATATGACTCCATACCATACTAAAAAATACCTGTGATAATGTGACATCATACTAGATTATCCGCAACTATATGACTCCATACCATACTAAAAATACCTGTGGTAATGTGACATCATACAAGATTATCCGCAACTATATGACTCCATACTAAAAAATACCTGTGATAAGGTGACATCATACTAGATTATCCGCAACTATATGACTCCATACTAAAAAATACCTGTGATATGGTGACATCATACTAGATTACTTACCAACAAGTGACGTTATAGGAGTTAATAAAAGTGTTGTAAGTGCAATGGATAAGATCAAAGTCATGTGTTTTTTGTTTTTTTTTGTCTTGAAAGGAATCAGCAAGATAATGCTATCACGATAATTTCTCTGTAATGCTCATGATTATCGGACGTTTACTCCGTTAATTTATATAACTTGTTGTCTTTTTTTTTCTCGTTGGAAATGGGGTATATAGTATGGCCTTAGATAAACTCAAAAGAAAAAGGGGAAAAAAAATGAAGCATGTGTATGAACTTTTGACTTTGTTGTTCCTGTGAAATGATCACGTTATACAGGTATTAGAAACTTATTTCATTTCAGGTCCTTCGGCTGCTGTCTTGGGAAAAACCCGACGACCTAGAACGGCTTTCACCAGTCAACAACTTTTGGAATTAGAAAATCAGTTTCGAATGAACAAGTACCTGTCAAGACCAAAGCGGTTCGAGGTGGCGACTAACCTGATGTTAACAGAAACTCAAGTAAGTTAGGTTGTGAAAAGTTTTAAAAACATGGCTTCACCATTAAATTACCGATGTGATATATCAGATTTTAAACATATTTTATCTTAGTTATTTATACACCAACTCACTAGCAGGTTTATTATTTTAGTGGTTACAGTATTACTAATAAAAATAGAGTCGCATAAAAAATTTAAACAAAAATACCACCAATAATAATAATACAAGTAATTACACTAATTACTGGTTGGGTTTCCTATGTATAGAACAGGAGTGATTTCACCCAGTATGTTTGGTCATTATTTTCCACTGTGCTTTGTAACAGGTAAAACAGAAAATGGCTTAATATGATGCAATATATTTGTGTGGATCCAACCGGTAATAAACGGTGTAAAAACAAGTCGGTAATCTGGCTCAATATGATACAATATGTGTGTGTGTGTGTGTGGACCTCGTCGGTAATAAACGGTGTAAAAACAAGTCAGTAATCTGGCTCAGTATGATACAATATAGTGTGTGTGTGTGTGGACCTCGTCGGTAATAAACGGTGTAAAAACAAGTCAGTAATCTGGCTCAGTATGATACAATATATGTGTGTGTGGACCTCGTCGGTAATAAACGGTGTAAAAACAAGTCGGTATTCTGAGGGTTAAGTACGACTTAATGTTTGTATCAGAGCATTTTTGATGCATACGATTCTGTTTGAAAATCAACAGTAGATGAATTTTCGTGATTCCCCGAAACGTTGAAACATTAACATATTTGTTAACCTCTTTCATCAGCCATAGCCTTAGACTTAGCAAGTTATGATTCAAAACCACAATAACGATTAACGTGCAGATGTCCTTTCAGGCATACATGTACTATAAAGATACTGTTGCAGAGTGTTTATATTGTATAACATGCAGCTGTCTTTCATGTACAAGTATATATTATAAAATAGCGTTGCAAAGTATTAGCGTTACATAACATGCAGCTTTCTTTCTTGGAAATATATATCATAAAAATGATGTTGCAAAGTATCTATATTGTGTAACAGCATTGCCACTTCTTGCAGATATACATATAAGGAGAATATTGCAATGTATGTGTACTGTATAATATACAGCTTTCTTTCATGTACATATATATATTATAAAATGGGGTTCCAAAGTATCTATATTATATATATTTTCCTTTCCAAAACTTAAAGTGCAAAGAAGTGCACGAATCGTACGAAATGTTACTTTTCATGCACGGTGAGGCCAGAATAAAATGAAAACTGTGGACTTAATTTATACGTGGTAAAAGACCCCTTTTTATTTATGTTCACTGTGTCGTTCAAATTATAATATAAACAGTTTAAGGTAACGTATCAACAGCTGTTGAAGAACGTTATATCACTGTTGGAGATTTTTGTAGTGTAATATATATATATATATATATGTATCGTTCAAATTATAATATAAACAGTTTAAGGTAACGTATCAACAACTGTTGAAGAACGTTATATCACTG